ATGACAGCACTTGAATACGTCGAAAATGACAGCGATATGGTTAGGATAAAAGAGCTTGAGCTACAGAACGAATACCGAATGCGTGAGTTAGAAGTGCGTCAGAGAGAGAACGAGTGTCGTATGCGTGAACTAGACATAGAGAGAGAAATCAAATTAAAGGAGTTAGAGCTCAGAGCGGCCTCACCCGCTGCTGTGCCGTTTAACATAACTGCTAACGCAAAATTGGTTCCCCCATTTCAAGAGAATGCTGTTGACAATTACTTTCGATATTTTGAGAAAATAGCAATTAGTTCTGATTGGCCAAAAGAACAATGGACGGTACTGCTTCAATCTGTCCTCACTGGTAAAGCTCAAGAAATTTACATGTCAATGTCCGTGACGGATTCTCGTGACTATGATAAAGTAAAGACGGCTGTGTTTAAAGGGATACGAGTTGGTGCCGGAGGCCTACCGCTTAAAGTTCCGTAATCTGCGGAAAAGGGACAATCAGAGCTTTTTAGATTTTGCCAGAGAGAAAGATGGCTTGCTTGCTCGTTGGTGTGAGAGTGAGAAAGTAGATAATGATTGTGATAAACTATATCAACTGATTCTTGTAGAAGAATTTAAGAAATGTCTACCTGACCGCATTAAGATGTATTTAAATGAAAACAGGGTAAAGGGTTAGATGAAGCTGCCAGAATGGCAGAGGATATGCTTTGATCCACAGAAATGTTGAGGGTCCAAAGAGTACTGTAAAACCACAACCACTCCCCTGACAGGTAAGAATGAATTTAAAGGTGATAAGAGAGAGACCGCCAGTCCTGGTCATAACTCCAGTTATGATAAAAAGAAATCAGTTAGATGCTTTAATTGCAAGTTGTTGGGTCATACTATCAGCAATTGCTGGTTCTTAAAGAGAAGAAGTCCAAGGACGTTCCCGTAGCTCTTGCCAGTACTAGATTTAAGGATGTAAAAAGTCCAGTAGAAGTCAATTTGCTTTCTGATACAGATAGATTTAGAAATGTAAGTGATGAATTCAAGCCGTTTTGCTCAGAAGGAAGTGTATCCCTGGTTGGTGATGAAGTGGTGAAAAGCCTATCGTAATATTAAGAGATACAGCGGCGTTACAGTCACTGCTCTTGGAAGGTGTATTGCCACTAGCGGGGAAGACTTCGGACGCGAGTGTCGTCATAGCCGGTATTGAGTGTGGGCATCTGATTGCCCCGTTACATAAGGTTCATCTCAAATCTCATTTCTGTGATAAGAAGTAACTGTGGAGTGGTACCTAAATTACCCATAGAAGGTGTATCATTTATATTGGCAAATGACTTGGCAGGAGAGAAGGTATTTGCTAAACCCCAAATTAATGTAGCAATTCTAAGTACTCCAGACATAAACGACGGTGAACAGCTTGCAGAAGAAGACGTGGGCATGTTCCCTGCCTGCGCGGTCACGAGGAGCATGCGGGAGGCAAGGCGTGTCGGGCACGACTTCCCACGGTAGCTCGTGCGAGTCAGTGCGTACGTAATAAGGACAAGGTATGTGGTAATGGAAATGACGTGAGAGGTGACGAAAGAACTTCATTGCTATGCCACGAGACTGATGCTGGTGACGACAAGCTAAGTGTCTTCCCCGTTGATAAAGGGAAGCTTATAGATCAGCAAAAATGTGACGCAGAATTGTGTAAGATTGCTGAATTAGCTGGGTCAGAAACTGATGCGTCAGATATACCTGCAGCTTATTATAAAAAAGGGCGCGGGGGACGAGTGGCACGTGGTACACCAGGTCGTTGTCCCAGCACCTTACAGGTCACAGATCCTGAGTCTTGCTCACGATTCACCATTGTCGGGTCATATGGGTATTAACAAAACATGCAGAAAAATAATGAACCATTTCTATTGGCCGGGGTTACGTAGAGATGTTGTGAATTATTGTAAATCGTGTCATCAGTGCCAGGTCGTGGGAAAGCCTAACCAGAAGATCCCTGTAGCGCCTTTATATCCGATTCCTGTGATCTCTGAGCCTTTTAGTCACGTAATTATAGACTGTGTTGGCCCGCTTCCCAAGACAAAATCCGGTAATAATTACCTCCTCACCATCATGTGTTCTTCCACTCGATATCCTGAGGCGATCCCGTTGCGTAAGATCAGTAGCAAGGCAATAATCAAAGAACTCACGAAATTTTTCTGTACATACGGGTTACCGAGGGTGATCCAGTCCGACCAAGGCAGTAACTTCCTCTCTAAGGCGTTCCAGGCAGCCATGCGACGGATGGCGTACGACATCAAGTGTCAAGCGCCTACCACCCAGAGTCGCAGGGCGCGCTGGAGAGATTCCACCAGACGTTGAAAAACATGGTCCGCATTTACTGTCATGAGACGGATGACCAGTGGGATGAAATGGTTCCGCTGTTGTTGTTTGCTGCTAGAGAGAGTGTGCAGGATACTCTGGGGTTTAGCCCATTTGAGCTTGTGTTCGGCCATGAGGTAAGAGGTCCACTAAAGATGTTGAAAGAAAGATG